GACACTGGCCTCCTCGCTATTCCACAAATAAGACACTCCATCTTTCAGCTTTTAATGAGTATTTTTTCTCTGGCTGTTCCCCTATGCTCAGAATGCTCTCCTTCCTTCTATCCATCAGCTGTCTTCCTTAAAGTCCCAAATTAAATCCCATCTTCTACAGGAAGCCTTTCCTCTTTTAATTCTAATTCCTTCCCTCTCTAAATTACTTCTTATTTATCCTTTATATAGCTTGCTTGTAGACAGTTGTTTGCATGTTGTCTTCCCCATTAGACTGTGAGGTCCTTGAGGGCAGGACCTGTCTTTTGCCTCTTTTCCTGTCCCCAGTACTTAGCATATTTCTTGGCATTAAAGCAGGTGCTTAATAGATGTTATACTGACTCAATGTTAGCCACCATCTTCTCTTAGATACTTTCTTTTCTCTAGTTTTTTTTTTTCTGGTGATACTACTCTCTCTTTGTTTTCCTCCCATATGTCTGACTGCTCCTTCTCTGTCTTCTTTGCTGCATTTTTTATCTAGGTAGTGCCTACTAACCATAGGTGTTCTGGTTCTGTTCTGGGCCCTCTTTTTTTCTTTCTCTATACTGTTTCACTTAGTGATCTCATCAACTCCTGGAGGTTCAATTATCATCTCTATGATGATTTACAGATCTACTAGGGTGTGGCATACTAGAGAAAAAGTACTGGACTACAAGGCAGGAAGCTCTGACTTCAAATCTTACCTCTCACCCTCACTAGCCACACTGAGGGGATTGGCCTAGATGGCCTCATAGGTCCATTCTAGCTCCAAATCTAGAATACCTTTACCTGTACCTCCAGTGTACCTCAGCCGCAGACAGGAATCGTCACACCAGGTCCACAATCCAAAACTGTAACCTCCTACTCTTCCATGCATCCCTGCCCCTCCTAACCCTATTCTTTGTGCTTACCATATGTTCATGGAGAACTGACACCTCTGGTGTGAGGGCTTGCTAAGCCCCTTTCAAGGCTGATCATCCACCTTTGGTGTTCACTTTCACCCAACTTTCAGCTGTGGCTCCAAAAAGCTGTAACATGTGCAGTGCCAATACCCCAGTAAATCATCTCAGCAGATGGGCTAAACCAGGTTGAGGGTAACTGACAGGCCTCAAATCTGTTGGTGAATTAGGGGGATGTCTACTCTAAGAATTCAAAGTCATCTCCTAGCAGAATGGATGGATGAGAACAATTTGTTCCAATGGCCATGCAGGCGCTGAAGCAGGCCCTGTGCGTGCAGTGCTTAGAGCTTGGCCAGACATCAAAGATACCAAAGTCGTCTCCTGCATCTTGGGGCATCATCAGTCATCTTGACTTTTGTCTCGCCCACTGGACTTCAATGACTCTGGAAGAAAGAGTAAGGTAGACAACTTTGTGCAACTCTGCCTCACTTAAATCTAATTCATTAGCAAGTCAACACCTGTGTTGTCATTGGTCCTCTTTGAAAGCAAAGGACAAAGATCAATTTATCCAGCCCTAACTTCCGTCCTTACCTCCAGTCCCACATCTCTAACTGCTTATTTAGATATCATGACCTAGATGTCCTTTGGACATCACTATGTCCAAAACTGAATTAATTATGTTTCTCCCCATACCTTCCTCTTTTTACCCTAATACTTTCAAAGGCACTACAATCTTTACAGTGTCACAGGCTCACAAACAATTATCTCTAGCTCTCCAATCTGTTTTACCCCTCTCCTTCCTGCCCAATATCTTGCCAAATCCTGTCCATTTTTTTTTTGCAGTATCTCTTATATTCACCCATTCTCTTGTTGGACATTGTTACCATCCTGAAACTGTCCTTCATTTCCTCATACCTGCACTATTGCAATGTCTTTTCTTTGATCTCCCTGCCTCAAGTCTCTCCCCAGTGTAATATATCCTCTACTCAGCTGCCACAGAGATCTTCCTGAAGGGCAGATCTAACCATGTCAACCATCTATTCAATTCCAATGACATCTATTTACTTCCCAGGGCAAATATAAAATCCTTTGGCTTTTGAAGCCCTTCACCTGGCCCTTTCTTACCTTTCCAGTCTTCTTACAACTCTACTCCCCTTTACACATTTTATCATCCGGTGTGATTCTGGACTCTGCCCCCTTCCTGCCATGTCTGTCCATCTCCTAGAATTTTACAATTTCACTGACTTGTCTTCCATTTCCAGAAAGCTCTCCCACATCAGTTCCACCTCTTGGCTTTCTTAAAATCTCAACTAAAATTCCACTTTTTGTAATAGGCCTTTCTAGAGGCACTCCCTCCCCCATCGGTAGTCTTTCCTCTGAGATTGCCTCCAATTTAATCTACATACATCTCGTACGTACTTAGTTGTTTTGTATCTTTGTCCCCCCCCATTAGAAAGTGAACTCCTTGAGTCAAGGACTGTTTTGGGGATTTCTTTGTACTTCCAGCACAGAGAAAGTGCTTCCTCAGAAGTGCAACTCAGGTAACACCTGAGGCCCTTTAGGATATCTTCAACTGTTAGTGTTCTCTTCCTCTTGAAATTTCCCTTTCTCCTTGAAATTGCTTTGTGTGTATGTGTATACATGTATAAATATATAAATAATGTATACAATATACGCATAAGTAAATATACACACATTACACATGTGCATATGCACAGTGTACCTGTGTATAAATATATAATGTACACATATACATGAGTAAATACATACACATGTGCATGTGCATTGTGTATGTGTAGAAACATAATGTATACATTACATGCATAAGTAAATATATACATATTACATACATGTATATGCATTGTGTGTATATACATACACACACTCATATCCCCCACTGTAGAATGTAAATTCCCTGAAGGCAAAGACTTCACCATTTTTGTTTTGGTATCCATGGACCCTGTCCCAGTGAACGCTACACATAATAGGCATTTAACATGTTTATCAAATGGAATTGGTGGCACAGTTTTAAGAAAAAGATAGGAGGGCAGCTAGGGGGCGCAGTGGACAGAGCTCTGGCCTTGGGGTTAGGAGGACCTGAGTTCAAATGTGGCCTCTGGGCAAGTCACTTAACCTGGATTGCCCCACCAAAAAAAAAAAAAAGGATAGGATTTCAACAGATAGAGATGAGTGCACAAAGGGTATATTTCAGGCCCAGGGCTCAGTTAATAAGGAAAAGGCAGGGAGATTGGGGGAAATATATCATTATCATCAGTGGTTATGGTTGTTGAAATAATCTATCTCAAACATTTGGGCAGGGTTCCTGGTTGCTTAAATTGGATTTGGACAGATAGAGGGGAGGAAGAAGGACATTTTTGGGATGGGGAATAGTGTGAGCCAAGTAGCAGAAAGGGAATGCGCATGGTACATGTCAGGGACAGTAGGAACAAGACCCACCTACTTGAAACTGCAGGTTCCTGTAAGGGGTGGAGATTTAAGGTTGTAGAAGTACAGTGAGGCCAGATTATGATACTATATCAATTTTAGAGGCATTTTATTTTGTATATGCTGCATCTAACTTATCAAATGTGAACATATTTTATCCCCATGGTAGAATATAAGCTCTTTGAGGAAAGGGGGTGTCTCTCTTGTATTTGTATCCCAGCTTCCATCACAGAGCCTGGCAACATAGTAGTCGATTAATAAATGCTTATTGATTAACTGATTTTTTTTTTTTTTGGTCATGAGGTTTACAGTGAGGTCAACTTTCTGAGCAGACTGGGAGTAACAGTGCAGCTGTAGCTCCTCCTCTCTGGGAGCCTCTGCAAAGTCAAAGGCCTAAACTCTTAACCAATTTCACTCCTATATACTGTTCTAGCTTCCTAAGCATAAAGATAAAAATAATCTTCACCTGTTGTACAGGGGCATGACAGATAGCTGCTTTTTAGTTTCTTTAAACTCTTAAGAAGAAAAAGTCTTATTTCAACAACCAGTATTATTTAATAAGATTTGGTTCCTGGCTTTCTCCTTTTTCCCTTTCTCCAGCACCTCCTCCACCTGTTCCGTCCTTCTCCCCTCCTCGTGCCTGGCTCTTCCTCCCCTCAGCCTCTCTTTGCTGCTGCCCACCATCACCTCCCCTCATCTCCTCCCATCCTTTCCTTGACCACGACTCGCCTCCTCTTCCTCCTCCCTGCACACTCGGCTGGCACAAGCCCTCCCCCGGAGCACATGCCCATGTACACACGCGCGCGCACACACACACACACACACACACACACACACACACACACACACACACACACACACACACACACACACACACACACACACACACACACACACACACACACACACACACACACACACACACACACACTCCCTGTCCCCTCCCCTCCCGCCGCTGCCGCCGTCTGAGCGGTAGGTGTTTTCGCTGTCTGCGCCGGGCGGGCCGCAGTGCGGCTGCGCGCACTCGGTCTGCCTCCGGGGCTGGCAGGGCAGCGGCGGCCGCGGCGGCGGCGGCGGGCAGGAGGCAGGAGGCTGGAGGCTGGAGGCTGGAGACTGGAGGCAGGAGGCTGGAGGCAGGAGGGCAGGGAGCTAGCGAGGGAGGGAGGCGGGCGGGCGGCGAGCGGCGCCCAGCCGAGCCAGGGGCTGCAACAGCCCGGCAGTCGGGAGACGTGAGGGCAGAGGAAGGCAAGGCGGCCAGGCACCCACGGAGCCGTTCTTCCCGGGCTTGGGGGACCCCTGTTCTTCGCCCCCACTCCATCTGCCCTCCCTCTCCTCCCCCAGGCGTCGTCTTCGTCGAGCGCCCCCTCCCCGGCCGGCCCCTGGAGGGAGGCGGCGGCGGCGGGCTGAGGCAGCCGGGATGCCCCTACCCCGCTGAGGCTCCCCCACCGCGAGGAGCCTCTCGGTCTCCCCGGTGATGTTCCCCAGGCAGCAGGAGAAAGCGACTCACTCGAGCCCTGGGGTAAAGGCCTAGTTTATCCAGCTTCCTTCCTTCCTCTTCCTCCTCCTCCTCCTTCTCCTCCCTCCTCCTCTTCCTCCTCCCCCTCCCCTTCCAACCCCCCTCCCCCTTTCCCCCGCCCCCCATCCTCCCTCCCACCCCTCCAGCAGCGATGGCAGAGGAACAACAACAACCACAACCACCGCAGCCCGATGCCCATCAGCAGCTCCCCCCCAGCACTCCTAGCCCGGGGGTGGCTCTGCCAGCCCTGGTGCCCGGGCTGCCGGGGATGGAGGCCCGCGCGCTGCAACACAAGATCAAGAACTCCATCTGGTAAGAGGATCCTCCATCGCAGGGGCAGAAAAGCCCAGGCACATTTCTGCTGCAAAGGGGTGAAGGGGAGGGGGGGAGAGGGAAAGAGGGAGGGAGCGAGCAAGCGGAGGAGCTGCTTGATGCATTCGTTGCATGTGGGTTTCCTGAGTCTGGTGCACATTTATAGGACCTTTGGAGGCGTGTGCTCTTTAAACATGTAAACCTGGGTTTGCCTCTCCAAACAACTCCCCCCCCCCATCGTGACTGCAGATTAACAAGTTATTTGGTATTTCACTTTGTGTGAGAGGCGGAGGGTTAGAAAATAAGTTAGATTGCATGATGGTAGCATGTATCTAGGAGTGGGGAGTGTGAAATGTGTTTACTTCTTTTTGCATTCACACAGGGAGAGGGGAAGAAGTGTATTGTGAATTTTCGCCTAACAGACCATTGTGCGTAAGAATATTAATATGCAGCGTAAAACCTGATTGTGTATGTGTCTGTCTGTCTTTTGGCTTAGCTACTCCTTCTAGATGTTTTTGTCTTGTTTATTCCAAGACTGTAAGCCTTCCAGAAGGAGTTCATTCTCTGCATTTCCTTTGAAGAAAAATACTACTCCAAAACATGACATCTTAATTGGTGTGTATTCTCACAGAAGATAGTCTGATCTTTTGTTTTTTAAAGACTAGGAACCTGCCTTCCAGTAAAGGCTTGCTATATTTCTTTTACTATACTTTAGGTTGTTTGAAAATCAAGATGAGTCAAATCAGATGTCCTCTTGTTATTATTTTTTGGTTGTTGTGTGACTATTAAATAATTTAGCATAAAGATGAGCTCTTACATTATCGTGGTCTTTTCATTATAAAGTAGATTGGTTGAGTTAGGTAACCCATTTCTCTTTTAAGTGTAAATAAGGAATGCTTACAATAACAAAACCTCTCTTTTCGTTGCAAATCCTTATTTCAGAAAGATTATACCTTGGTCTTAATGAATTTATGTGGAGTTGCATATTACCTGTCATATTTTTTGGTGTAGCACTCTTTTTAAGGAAAGTACAATATTCTTTAGGATTTAGTTTATGAATTACCTTTTTTAAGAATGTAAAAATAGAATTCTAATGTTTCTGTCAAACAGATCCTTGAGATCAAAATAGAAATCGTCAGGCCCATCATTTTGCCGTATTACACCCAAATAGCCTCACATTTTGTTTTGAAACTTTATAAAGACCCATCTGAAGAATATCTGGTCTTTGTATAAAATTTACTACAAAAGAGTAATGAAATGAAATGTGCTGAGTTTGAAAAGTGAAACTGGTCTTTTTCATATAGTAATTTGCATTATTTTCCTGAAGGGTCCATGTGTCCAGCTTATCTTGGTAATATGAAATAGGTCAATTAATAGTTTCACATTATACAGTAGTTGGCAGTTGAATATTTTGTTTGCAATGCAAATGTTTAAAAAATTGAAGTGTGAATTAATGCAGAAATTTTTTTCGGATCTTCACATGATAAGTCGCATTGTAACTTACCTGGAATAGGTCAGATAAATATATATTTTTTTTCTTTACAGTTTCAGAATGTAGGACTCAAAAATACATAACTGGGGAGGTGCTTAACTTTATGGCTTTTACTGTTAAGATTTTTAATAAAATTAGTGTTTCTTCTATCAGCATGGTATACATTAGCTTCCTTGAAATCATCAAATTGAATTTAGCTTCCATGTTTTCATTACATTTAAATGAGGTTTCATGTCCAAGTTGACAAAATGGCTACTAAAATCCTTTAAGATAGAACATTTTAAAAAGTAGAATTGAGTATAATTTTTAGTTAGGAAGAGAGCAAAATGAATGAACCTTCACTTTTTCTCTTAAAAATAGTCATTAGAATAGTTAACATAGGGAATTTTAAAGAACAATGAAAATTATTTGAATAATGATACTAGATTTTTTTTTATGTGGGTTATTAATTGTTCTCTCCCTCCTGATGCTCCATATTCATATGACGTTTACAACTTAAGTCATTTGACATTTTTAACATATGTGGAGCTTCTCTTACCTACAGGCAGTATAAATCAGTTCTTAGCACTTGTTCTAAAAACTTACATAGGAAACATCTTAAACTTAACATACTTCATTTTATCTTTTTTAAATTGTATTAACACATTGACATTTAATTTTGTGTCTTAGAGATCCTGTTTGCAAAATTACTTCCCTTTTCATACTATATGTATACCTGTTGACTACTTCACTTTTCACATTATATTGACTAAATAGCAGTAATGCTATTTTTCTCCCTAAAAATTGAATTTCGGTTGGTTTTATAAAAGAAAGATATTTGTGTTAAAAAGATGAATTCCCTCGTCTCTGGCTTCCCCTAAGAAATAGTATCAATATATAGTTATAATGCATAACTTATTAAAAATATGTTTTGACCAGCAAACTTACAACTCTTTATGCATCTCATTGAGACATTTCTAAGATCACAGTACTTTAAAAAAATGATGATTTTTGACACCTTGTAATCTAAGAGAGGAACAATTTTGCACTTCTTCAATTTTGGCTAATTACTACTGTGAATTTTAAATTTTATTCAAAGCAGCCCTCTTTCTTAGATCATAAACAAGTCTGAACTTGTCCTTCTATACAAATATGAATATGGTATATGATGTAGGCCTCTAGCTGGACAATGAGTTACTCATTATCTCAGCTCATTGTTAATTTAGTCAGTTTATTAAATTAAAAGGCATTATAACCAAAGAAATTTGTCTGTTATAATTGCAAATAAAAATGTAACATTTGGAATCATTAAACCAGGTTTTACTACTTATTGCCTGTATGACCCTAGGCAAGTCACTTCACCTATTATCCTTAGCTGTAAAATGAGGGTCTTATTAAATGACCTCTAAAGATTTCTTCCAGTCCTAATTATATGATTTCCTGTTCCTGAAAGAAAAGGAAAGATTAAATTTTAACCAACATTTATAGAGTGCAAAGCACTTTACAGGTTATCTCATTTGATCCTCCCAATCCTGTGATATAGGTGCTATGATCACCTCCATTTTGCAGATAAGGAAATGGAGGCTGGGAAAGGGTAAGTAACTTGCTCAGGATCACACAGCTAGTAAAATGTCTGAGGCAGGAATTGTAGACCTGAGCCTGCCCAGGTCATCCTGGTTCCAAATCCAGCACTTTATCCATTGCGCCACCTAGTTAGTTTTAAAGTAGAGCATACTGGTGCAACTCTAGAAAATAAGATTAGCAGCAGCCAATATTATTTTTGTTTTTTGGTAATTCTTGAACATACAAACTTGTTCAGGTATCATAACAAAAGAAGCTAATATTTGATTAATGAGTTTGTAAATATCCGTAACTCAAGCACAGGTTAATCTCTTCACTTTTCCTCCTTTCTCATTTTCTGTACACCTCCAAAGGGCTCTTCCTCCTGCAAAAGAAGGATCTTCATACGCAGATGTCTGTTTTAATATTGAATGCTGTGCTAAGGATGCTGTATAAAAATTTTAAAAAAATGTTGCAATCACAGGTTTATCCAGATTTTACTATAATTAGAGTTAGGGTGACTAGGGAGGAGGAATGAATGTTAGTCTCTTTCCCAAATGAGGGTTCACCTCGAGTTTGCCTTCTGAACTGTTTCAAATTTCTGCAATTTTTACTTCACTCCTATGTTGCTAGGTACTTAGCAAGTCTATCCTGTCTATTGCCACCTCTTTCCCATTAATTTCCTAATAAAGGAAAAACATAGTTACCATACTTGTATTAATATTTGGGTAGTAATTTAAAGAAACTTATAAAAGCCAACGTTTTGTAAGTTCATTATGTTATTTTTCTAAGCAATCCTAGTTCAACAATAACAGGTGTGTTATTGAGAAGCTCATTGCATGGAATGAGAGATTGGACTGGATGGTCTATACAGGTCCCAGGTCCCTTCTGATCCCAAGATTCTAGGGTCAAGTATGAGGGGGAAGTAGGAGGAGCTAGTTTTCATTTGAGAAGGTCATGGGATTTTGAATTGGAAGTGAAAGACTGTAGAGATGATTTTTTTTTTAGGCCAGGAGTTCTTAACCTACAATCCACAATCTTGTTTTTTAAATATTTTAACAACTGTAGTTCAGCATAATTCCTTTGTAATCCTATGTATTTTATTTTTTGCATTTAAAAACATTCTGAGAAATGATTCAAATGTTTCACCACACACACAAAAAAGATTAAGAACCCCTGAGTCCTGCAAAGGTTAAATAATTTGACTTATCCAAGGTCACACATATAGTAAGTAGCAGAGACTGGTTCATATCCAGGTGTGATAAACCCAGTGCCTTTTTTGTGTTGCTCTTCTGCCTGTTATAGTTAGTTATCCTCAAGTCATGAAAGGATCTTGTCTTCTTGTAATAATCTTCCTACTTGGAATAAGAATGTATATTTGCAAATAGCCTGTCACATAGAGAATTTTAACTAATAAGGATCACCTTATAAAAATATCCTATTTTAGTAAAATGTGGGTAATATTTACTTAATAGATGTATGAATTTGGTTTTCATCTTTATGTAATAATTTAAATCTGTAGGTAGTCACTTATAAGCATGGACTCAAAACAGTCTTGCAAGTCTGTGCATTTTGTGAAAAAGAGATGGAGGGGAGGGGGAAGGACTAAGACTTGTCCTACTTATTATTTGTCTCTAGAAGTAAAGGTGAGACAAGAACTCATCTTTTGGCTAGAAAATTGCTTGGGTTTTTTTATATTTTGAATTTTGATTATACTTAATGACAACATGCATTCCAATTTCAACCAAAATCAAACAGCTTTGTTTTAGTTACTTCTCTGTTATGACAGGTTAGCAGCTGGCTATTAAGTGACAAGTTTCTTATTTCTGTGGATTACTATGAATAGTTTCTTGTAGAATCCTACAGTTAAATTTTAAGGTCACAGATCATAGAGCAAAGATTTAGAGTTGAAAGGAACCTCAGAGGCTTCGGAGATTTGAGGTTCAGAGAGACTGTGACTTGCTCAAGG